CTATTTTCTGGGTTGATTATCGTTTAAATTCACAAGAAATTCCGTCAATGTTTCACAATAATTATCAGTGATCAGTTAATGTATGTTCTGTAAAATACCGTTTCATCTTTAAATCAGTTTAATTTACACATAAACAAAACGGAAATAGGAAATGAATGTTTGTGAATTGAAGAATTGTTTTGTATTTTTTTTCCTAATAGTTGAATAATTATTATGGACGAATAAGAGTTGATCAATCAATCAACGATTAGGTAGAAGAATATTGTATATCTATGTTATACTCGTCTCTAGGTATGCTTAAAACATTTATGGGTTCACTTTAGTCGAATAACGACAACAAAACAATGATTCAGCGTCCAGATAGCCTACTGTGATTCGACTGTCCCAATTGTACAAGCAAGAAGTCTTCATATAGAGTAAAAAGTGTATTCTAAAAATACCCAGCCAGTACATAATGAACCGAAGCACACAAATCGTCTTTATTTATACTCGATATAGACGTCCTTGGTAGCGTCACATAATAGCACACTAAAATAACCCATCAGCCAATCACAGCCAAGGATTTTCCTTGTGGGAAATGTGATCTCAAGGTCAACTGATCAGTCCATGAAGTAAATCCATAATTAATATATTTATGAAGCGATTTCCGAGGATCTAACATCCCCAATAATCTATCAGGTTGACTATCTTCATAAAACGTCACCAGGAGGTATGCACTCTGTAGATCAGCAGTTTGTAACATTTTGGGTCAGTGTTATGTATCAGTTAGTCCAGTGTTATATTGCTGAAAAAAATACTATTACATTATCGATCGCTGCACAGTGTAGTAGGAGGTGATCAGGTAAGCTTAACACATACTATTATTGAGTTGATAATTTGTTCAACTATTAGTGATACACTGAATCGATTAATGTCTGCGCATAATTTAATCTCTCTGATAGTTTTAGGAATATCTTTATCGTCTGTGTTTGTTTAAAAGTGCAAAAATCATAAAATGAGGCAACTAACAATGATAGGAAATATTTACAACTCAAATAACCGTTTCTAATGTCATCATTGTGTTAACTGAACCAGATCAACTGATTATTGACTTTTTATTGTCGTTCCAGACAGTATTATCACTTATTACATGTAGATAATAACATTTTACTCACTGCATAAGATTTAAATTAGCTAATTTTGTTAACGTTGTTTGTGACTGTGTTCATGCTTGCATGTGATTTATGAATGAAATCAATTGATCTTCGTAAATTACGCACAAAGTTTACGAATAGTTGGTTCAAATCGTTGTTCTTGATCTCTTTATATATATGCACAGAAGTATGCGAATTGCATTTAAACATGATTGTCATATTTAACTACAAATTTTATAAAAATGTAAAGAACTGTGATTTTTGATATGAACAGGAATATTTCGTAACTTTGCTAAATTAGTCTTATAAATCTATCTACTGAATAATGAATTAAGTAGTTTAATTCTAGTTTTATATATAAATTACTCATTCGCGATAATAATGCCATTGACAATGAAAGGCTAAAATCTAATGGCATAAGTTGAGTAACCATAGATAAGGTTAGTGCTTTGTATTGACAACGTTGAATACAATTAGCTACAATGTCATTTCTGATCCTATTGAAAATAAGTGCAATGTACTAATAATCCTGTTAAAAATAATGTAGGAGGATTATGTGGTGAACTAAAAACAATTCAACTTATTTTATCCTTTGGATTGATTTTTATTCACTGTAAAAGTCAAAGAGACTCCATTAGATGCCTTGGCTGCTATGTATTCGATAGTAAAACATTATTAATGGAATTCCAGACTTATTGTATAGTATGATTAACATCCACAGCATTTCTTATTAGATATTTGATAATTACAGTATAGGGGTTTTAGTGAAAAAAAAAGTTTCGGATGGTTTTGGATATCAATAGACATTTGTAGATTCTTTTGCCCTGAAAAAGAACCTAAGCTTATGTAAAATCCTAAAATCGACTGTCTTTTTATTCAAATATCGTATTATAAAAAAATCCTCATGATTTTAGTCAGTGGAAATTAAAGACCCATAATTCTAAGAGTAATATAATACACTATCAAGTGAGTAACGCAACTAACAATCAGTTCGTTTCAGTCAAGAACAATAAACGATATTACAGGTTGAAAAGTTCACTTAGCTAATTTTCTTCCATTATTGAAAAACACCTTCATAATTGGTTTAGTGATGTATATTTAAGTTAACGAAATAATGATTATTTCTGGGAGAGTTTTGAAGGTTTGTGTTTTTACACATTTGAAATAATCAATCAATCATTGTTAGACCACCATCAGAAACCTGGAAGCACTGGATGGCAGTTTTGTCCTGGTATGAGACTCAGCAATGCGCAACCACGACTCCTGATACCCGCATGATTCGGACCCGGGACCTTCGGTATTGTGCGCAAACGCCTAACCATCGGACCACTGAGCCGGCATCCAATGGTGTTAATGTCTAACTCTGATTGATCTTGGAGATTTTGAACGACCTCACCCATATTCGTCTTTGGTAGTTAGTGCCTACACCCGACAAGGTTGAACTCCATTGGTCACGTCTTCTCAACTAGAACTCCGAGAATTTCCTCACGAAGCTAGTCACTAGTGAGCACTGTTATGATATTTTCGGGCAGAGTTTTGGAGGTTTGTTAGACCACCATGATTTCCGTTTTCAAGAAATTGATAATTGTGATACCACAGTAGTAGTAAAATCACTACGAATGAATTTACCGTTACTTAAATCTGGTCATAAAACCTGTAGAGTTACTGATCGCATTTTCGTTCAACAGTCAAATAGTTCAAAATCTATGTGAATTATTACACTTTATAATCTTATGTAATGAATAGATGATTAGTTAGATATACACAACTTTATATACAGAACGTAATCGTTAATTATCAAAAGCTGTGTATCTTGATGCAAATATACTTTGTCGTATAACAGATCTTTATTCTATTTTCAAAAATCGTCATATCACGAATTTTGTTTGAGCTTTCAACAAAACTATTTGATGCATCTTTATTCTGTACCGATAAATGACAGCTTGAAAGAATTTCTTATTATCGTTAACCTGACCACGTTGCCTTATGAAATCATGAATCAATCAATGTTAGACTACCATTAGAAACCTGAAGGCACTCGATTGCCGTTTCTTCCTAGCATGAGGCTTATCAGCAATGAGCATCTATGACTCCTAGCACCCGTGTGAATCGAACAAGGGGCCTTCAGGCTTGAGCTAAAACATTTAACTTCTGGACCATTGAGCCAGCATTTGATGTGTAGCCTCGATCACTTCACAGTCTTGCGCAAACTCATTCATTTTATATCATATTTGACATAAATTAACCAATATTGTTTTCACAATATTGACATAATATTTCTTGTATCAACTACATTCTATTCGACAGATTTGCTTACTCACTGTATTAAAATATCTATGAATTTATCCCTGTAAAACCTGATCATATGCAAATATTGATCCCTTGTTTTGAAATACTGTATAATGATCTTTAAACTAGATAATGATAATAATAATCTACAAGGCATTATTGACTAAACAATATAATTCAACAAAATCGATTATATGCTTATTTTTTAATATAAAAGTGCTCGACAACAGTAGTTTGAATATGAAACGAAAACAAAAACCCCGACTGAGTGAATATAGAATGAACAATTACAATGTTCCCTATCTTTCTCAATAGAATCACTTTCATAGCAGATTATCCGAGATCCATTTTTGAAGGCTTTGTTTGTGAAAATCCCTCCATGTATACATTTGTAATTCGTCCTCATCGATTCCTTCAGTTGAACATTTGTTTTAGTCTGTCAGATTCCATTTGAGATGATAATATTTGTATTTTATTATAGTTTATATTTCTTTTGCCCTCACTGAGTTTCTGTGTTTCTTTCTGAATTGCATTTATGTTGTTTAAGCTGATACTTAGTCATGGCGACAGCCATATTGATTTGTTCCTCTTTTGATTGTGTCAATTGCTTGTTTCGACTGGAATTGTGCATTTTGATTGTGAATTGGAGCACCCTCCCAGAATAAGAAACACTCTGTGTTATAAAGTAACCAAATATTATCTGTCGAACGAATCTGATCTATCCAGGAGTGATAGAATATCAGTTATCTTCTATGGATTTGGTTAACTGAACAATAACTGAGTGGTAATATTTGTTTAAGTAATGATGTACATTTATATTTATGATGAATACTAGAAGTGTTATTTATCCAAATCACTTGTTTTGGATTTCAACTGGGCAACAGCGCCTATCTAAACTACCTACTTAGACAGTTATTCCTCATTCTGAACCTCAATTTCGAACCTACAAATTATGATGCCTATGTACTGAAAAAAATCTTATCAAAAAATTTAGTAAATTTGAACTTTTAAAGCGTAAAGACAAATGCTCATTATTATTATTATTATGCTATTTATTTTAAGGTAATCAGAAAAAAAATTCACTTTTCAGAATTTTATTACAAAAAAATGACATTTGAATAAAAGATCTGTTTTTATTTTCCTTTAATGATTATTATTATTATTATTATTATTATTATTATTACGTTTGAATATTTTGTTATTATTTCAATTGTTATGACACTGATAGCCTGATATCAATAAAAACGTCCAAATTGTTTTTGTGAGCCAATTAAATTTTTAGCATCAACTATGAAACGTGTTTTAGATGTGTGTGTCTCTCTTTGTGAGTGAGTGAGTGTACCAAACATCATTGTGCAACACATCGATGTTCTCATTGCTTTTTTTTTGCGTTTGTTTTACTGCACCTAATTAATTTATCCAAGTGCGAATTTACACACACAATATATTCTATTGTCTTTATTGTTTGATAAAAAGGTGTAGAGAATTAAATATTCTAAGTTTATATGTACATATATGAATATATGTATATATCTGTATGCATATCTATAAGTTTATGCCTACACACATAGTATAATTGAAGCCATGGTACTAAATTTCTTCACTATTCTCTTTATTGTAATTTTATATAAGGTCACCATTACCATACGCTTAATGATATAAATAGTGTTGTTTTGAGACAGAGAAAATTTGCCATTGAATTGTGAATCGTGAAAGTAATCGGTACGTGACTGTTACTCAATTTAAACGTATTACAGTTTTTACAATTTGAATATATTTTTTACAGGAAACAATTATGTCTGAAACAAAAGCAGTAATCAAAAATGCTGATATGTCAGAAGATATGCAACAAGATGCTGTAGATTGTGCTACACAAGCTCTGGAAAAATACAATATTGAAAAAGATATTGCAGCTTTTGTGAAAAAAGAATTTGACAAGAAATACAATCCTACATGGCATTGTATTGTTGGAAGAAATTTTGGAAGGTGAGTTAGTAATCGATGTGATACATTTTGTTGTTGATGTATAAATAATAACCTTGACATATATTTATGTAAATGTATATATGGGTGAGGTGGCGCAAAATCCGTAGATCAGTCAGAGTTAGACATTAACACCGTTGGATGCCGCCGACCCAGCGGTCCAATGGTTAGGCGTTCGCTCACAATACCGAAGGGCCCGTGTTCGAGTCCTGCAAGGTGCAGGGGTCGTGGATGCACACTGCCACTGATGAGTCCCATACCAGGAAGAAACAGCCGTCCAGTGTTTCCTAGTTTCTAATGGTGGTCTAACAATGATTGATTGATGATTTCATATGTGTAAAAACACTAATCTACATAACTCCAACTGAAAAATATAGATATATATATATGTATTGGGTTAATTAGATACCGTTCAATTTAATTATAAGAAGCTTTGATGAACATGCAGACAACATCTTAACTCAACTTAACTCAATTCACAAATTAAAAACAATATTTATCAGTCTGCATATCTTAATTAGTTCATGAATGAGTCTGTAGTCGTTAGAACTCAATTGATTGTGACAGAACAATTTGCTAATTTGTTATTTTTGACATTTCAATGATAAAAAACAATGAAATCCAAATGCATCATTCATTATCATTATTCATGACTTTAGTTATGTAATAATTTCTTAAAGCATAGTGAAAAGCATTTTTCTCATAATCTCTCTAAAATTAACAAGGTGGATTATTGTTAAACATCATGATAAACAATGATCAGTCCAAAATGTCTGCTGGTTTTCAACTAGGTTCTTCATTAAGTATTTGAACAAAGAAAAAAAATAATGTTTTTCAATGATAGACCTGTTGTCAGACTAGTGAATTCAGTGGACTTTTAATTCTATGTTGCTGACTAAATGTTTCTCTTTTTTCCTCTCCCTTATTTTTTTCTCCTTTGGTTATTACAGTTACGTAACACATGAAACGAAACATTTCATCTATTTTTATTTGGGACAAGTAGCATTTCTTCTCTTCAAATCTGGTTAACATTATTCATTAATGCACAATGATATAGAATTTCAAATTTCAACAGAAAAAAAAAACAAAAACAGTAATATGCTTGAACAACAACAAAAAAAAAAGAAATTTACTATTTTCTAACTTTTATTGTACAAAACCTAAAAAAATATATACATAGCGAAAACAACATGGGTTGATCCACTAAGTGCGTTTCAGTTTGTGTACTTTAAATGTTCTGCCTTTTTTTTATATAACAAATCAATAATAGAACATCATTTGCATTATGAGTAAATTATACAATAAATAAACAGTTATTTATAGAGAAAAGAAATTTGTTTACTTTTTAAAACATTTTGTCATGAAATATCTATTTGTGGATGGGCTTATTTTTTAATTCAATCGCCTAGAGTTGCGAATGAAAATATGGTAGATAATCAAAGTTGTTCGTGTGTTAGTTTAGCTGCGTTATGTTGGTCGTCGAGGTGATTGTGTTAGGGTTCCATGTAGAGGCACACCAATTCTTAGTGGCTGCACTGAATTCGAAGTAGGGCTCACGGTATGACTCTATATTAATAGAAAATCGAATATGCTATCGAATAAATCTCCCCGTATGTCATACTTAGGCGAAAACCGTTTGTGCGACGGCGATAATCAATCAGTCAATGTCAATGTACGTACATTATTCAGTACATGTTATTATACCACATTAGCACAGAGATGTAATTGTCAGTTCAGAATCCAAATACGAAATCGGTTTCATGCATTCATTTGAACAGACAGTTAAGAATAGAAAGAATACAAACAGAGCGAAACGAAGTGTAAAAGGAAAGTGAGACAACTGCATGCGATAAAGCATGATTCAGTATTTATACCGAGATAATATAAGACAGATATGTAATAAGCAGAGTAAGCGGTACACACGCACACACATTCTACAATGGATTCAATCAAGATAAAAGCAAATAGTTGACATGGTCATAAGATGAGGGAATAGAAACTCGACAGAACCTCGACTGAAAAGCAGACGCACTGAAGTATTTCATCATAGATAATTTTCGAATTGTATTTTGATCATGAATTTATGTCGTCAGTCTTACTCACTAATATTGTGAAAACGTTATCACGGTACAAATATATAAACAAGACAACTCATAGATAGATAGAAATGTGTAAATTAATAGGATTCATCACGATTTCAAAGCACATCTTACACTGATATTCTGTGACTAATGTAGGAAAAAATAGAGTTGACAAAACCCTCTTGCATTCCATGTCAAATAATTCGGAGACATCATCAAAACAGTTTGCGAGACGTCGACTCACATATTGACTCATGAGTGAACGTTTGGAGTAAACTTATGTTCATCAGAACAAATGAATTCGTAAATAATGACGTTTATTTTATTCAGTCACTTGTTCCTGATAGTCTTAAACGTCTCACCAAATTTAAGAAATATATATCTGAATGATTATGGTCGAAACAACCTCCTCTATGACCTTGCAACCATTACCTAAAGCTTTAGACTGACTGTTTTATTTCTCTTTATATGCGAACACCATGGGTTGCTCCACCTGGAGCACCTCAAAGGCTATCGTCGGTCCCTAAACCCCGGAAGAGGAGGAGTGCTGGGCGGGGGGTTCTCGACCCCATCCCAAAAAAGACTAACTTGCTAAAAAAGCTAATCACAAAACAAAATTCAAACCAACTTAACTCTGCCCCGGGAAATAGAATGCCTTCTTTCAGAAGAATTATGACGACTCATGATAAAAGCCGATTTCCTTTGGAAATTACGAGGACGTTGCCTCTTCCTGTAACTAGAGTAACCATTCTTTTAGGTACGTGTAACGTTTAAACATTGTGGGAGACTGGGAGACTATTTTAAGTTGCTGCAGAAATGAAAAGATATAACCTGAAGGTGCTTGGAATCAATACAACGCATTGGACGTAGGTAGGACAACTCAGACTAGCTTCAGGGGAACTGCTGTTATACTCTGGTAATGAAGAAGAAAATGCTTCTCATACACAAAGAGTGGCACAGATGCTTTCCAAACAAACAAACTGGACACCGGATCATTAAAGCATCCAGCAAAACAAAGAAAGAGGACATTACAATGAACGTCATCCAATGCTGCGCATATACTAACGACTACAATGACGACGTTAGAGATCAATTATAAGAAAGGCTGCAGTCAGTCGTCAACAGATGTTCATCAAAGGATTTGACGATGGGGACCTAAATGCCAACATTGGCATGGATAACACTGGATATGAAGACAACATGGTACGACATGAACTTGCAGAAAATAAAGAAAACGGTGAGAAGTTTGCAAACCTATGTGCCTTCAACAAACTGGTCATCGGTGGCATAATATTCCCACACAAATGCATATACAAAGCTACTTTGACTTGACTGGGTCACACTACTGAGAGTCAAATTGACCATATTTCCACCAGTAGAAAGTTCGGAAGAACCATGGAGGATGTGAGAACCAAGAGAGGAGCTGATATATACTCAGATCACCACACGATGGTTGCCAAAATGAAACTGAAAATCAAGAAACGCTGGACAAAAGAGAGGTAAATATAACAAAATTTTAATAAACCGTTCTTCGGGATACTGGAAAGCTCAACGAATTCAAGATAGACCTCAGCATTAGGTTCCAGGCTATGTACGATATACTCGATGGAAAAAAAATATCATAGAGATCAATTGAAAAGGGATGAAGGAGACAATCACTTCAACATGTCAGGAGGTTCTGGGTGATAACACGCACCATCACTAACAATGGATCTCTGTTGGTAATCTTGATAAAATTTAAGAAGGAAAGAACAAGGAGAAAGCATTTAACATCAGATGAACAAGAATGAAGAACGTCAAGGAGCAATCTGAATACACAGAAGCAAACAAGCAAGTGACAGGCATATCAGTCCTCTGAACAGCTAGCTATATACTGTTCGTTTTACAAATCTTCGATATTGGCGTCAGCACTGATCTTCATGATGTGGACGACTAATCTTCAGTCAGTCAACAACGATTAAAATGAAGATTTCTATATATTTCGTGTTTGTAATCATACAATCATTTTGAAGTGAATCATGCTTTCATCAGTAGTGTGTATGAAATGCAGTTGTGGCATTTCTTCTATGGTAATCGTTTAATTACGGTACATGCATTTTTCAAATTACTTTCTGCATAAAACTAAAATATTTCGAAGTCACTTCGACTTTTTTATCAGCTACAATACTACCTCACAGATTGATGAATGACACAACACACAATAAATCGATGCCAATCTGATTATCTTCACGTTCAAACACTAATTAATACAACTGTGGATTGCATTCTTCATAAACAAATATTCATTATTTGTGTGAATCCAGTCAATTAAATAAACTCGCTCAAAATATTCGGAAAAAAAAGTGAATGAAAATGTATTTCTAAGGTGTTCTACACATTATCATTCATTTCTATAAGAATGACAGTACTAATGATTGATGTTTTATTGATTGTTTGTTCGTCCAATCAATTTCATCTCGCTTACATACACCATTGTTGTATGAGTGAAATCGTTGAAACAGAAAGAACACACATATTTCATTATCGATTTATCTGATGCAGTTGAAAATGCACAACAGATTTCATGTGATGTTTATGAATGAGTTTTTGGTGTGCAAGATATCACTAGTCTCGTGATACTCAATATTCAACGTGTTTTTAGTCTTCATTATATCTCGTCGAGATAATGGTTACTAAGATGCACTTGACGGTCTAAAATCTGGTGAACACGATGTGTTGACACACCATAAAATTGACAAGGTCAAAAGACAAGTGGGAAAATTCATGTGAGCTAGACATTGAATGACTCACTGCAAGCTAAGTCACAAGTGTCAATGATTTTCAAATAGATGCGAGAACATGAAACCTCTATAATTGACAACTGGATGTAATCAGAAAGAAATATTGCAAACTATGAAATGTCAAGTTGAACAATTTCTGATGCCTAAATATGACCATGTCCTATGAAAGCTACCATACACCGATATAGTGTGATATGGATTGCAGTGTCTAATCTCAAATCGTCATGACAAATCTATTAATCATAAAAATCCTCATATGTCAATTAAGTGACTACGCAACAATGGGTTCAGCTGAATCACTGAATACATTAATGTTTGATAGAGAGTAGAGTAGAGTCAGGATAACTACATTGTTGTAATATATATGAGTGTAGCTCAGAAATGTCCAGCATGTCACATATATATTGAATTAGTGTCTCAGCTTATTGACGAGTGATTGCACTGGCTATAATTATAGTCAACATGTTTGCTAATATTTCGTTATCTTTTGTGATATTTATCCAACTAGCTATTGTCATCAAGACTGTATTTCTCAGTTGTATGTACACTTTCGTTTAACTGTTTTTTAACCCTTGGTGTTTAGGTATACAGTTTTAACTTACGGTTCAACTTTTAGAGTGAGTTGTTTTAGTCATCATCATTCCTGTTGTTTGTTCTTATTGACAAAATATTTCTTCGTCATTTAATCGAAAGAAGAACATTAACTTTCTTGTCAACTTCCGATTCTTCAACCACAACATGCTTGTACAGCTGAGATATACACATTCATTTATTAAAGATGATATATTTCTTAAATTTGGTTAGACGTTTAAGACTATCAGGAACAAGTGACTGAATAAAATAAACGTCATTATTTATGAATTCATTTGTTCTGATGAACATAAGTTTACTCCAAACGTTCACTCATTAGTCAGTATGTGAGTCGACGTCTCGCAAATTGTTTTGATGATGTCTCCGAATTATTTGACATGGAATTCAAAAGTGTTTTATCAACTCTAATCACATCAATCGATTGAAATGTACAGAATATCAGTGTAAGATGTGCTTTGAAATCGTGATGAATTCTATTAATTTACACATTTCTATCTATCTATGAGTTGTCTTGTTTATATATTTGTACCGTGATAACGTTTTCACAATATTAGTGAGTAAGACTGACGACATAAATTCATGATCAAAATACAATTCGAAAATTATCTATGATGAAATACTTCAGTGCGTCTGCTTTTCAGTCGAGGTTCTGTCGAGTTTCTATTCCCTCATCTTATGACCATGTCAACTATTTGCTTTTATCTTGATTGAATCCACTGTAGAATGTGTGTGCGTGTGTACCGCTTACTCTGCTTATTACATATCTGTCTTATATTATCTCGGTATAAATACTGAATCATGCTTTATCGCATGCAGCTGTCTCACTTTCCTTTTACACTTCGTTTCGCTCTGTTTGTATTCTTTCTATTCTTAACTGTCTGTTCAAATGAATGCATGGAAGATTGCTTTAAACCAACTCATGAAATCGATTCCGTTTTTGGCTCCTGATTATCGCTGTCGCATAAACGGGTTTCGCGTAATTATGACATACGGAAACGAAATTGGAGATATAATGGATAGCATATTCGACTTTGCATAAATACGGAGTCATATCGTGAGCTGTACTTCGAATTCAGTGCAGCCACTAAGAATTGTTGAGCCTCTACATGGAACTTAACGCAATCACCTCAACCACAAAATGTTGAGCTCCACAACGAACATAACATAAAATACGAACTGTAATTTCCTACACAATTTCAGTCGCAAATAGAAATTCGAATGATTCTACCCATTCGAAAATAAATCGATTCATCATAACTCGATGAAGAAACAAGTATTTTGTTCAATATGGAATACCTATTTATTTGTTTTGTTTACTCACATTGCTGAGTCTCATTATTTTCTCATGAAAGAAAGTTGTTATATTAGAATACACAAATGAAAATAGATTGCGAGTATTTTGACACTAGGTCAACCAGTTAAAAAAAAAAACGAAATTCAAAACTATTCAATGTGTTCAATGTGTCCTGTTTTGCAGTTTGTATCCAACCTATGTTGTTTTTCCCCACTAATAATTTTTATACAGTTACATTGGGCAATTGATGAGTACAGCAGAAAATGGTATTTTGTGTGCAGAAAATGAAAAAAAAAACCCATCTGTTTTTTTAAAAATATTTTATTTGGATTTACAATGACATATTAATCTTGAACTTGATCTCTGTTCTGTGCATTGAATTAACTAACCAGATTTGAAGAGAAGAATCGCTGCGTTTCCCATATAAAAGTAGATAAAATGTGACGTCTCATGTGTTACATAACTGAAATATCAATGGAGAAATGTAAAAAAAAAGTTTAGTAAAACAACATGCAAGTAAATTTCAATACAAGAAATTCTTACAAATCTATTGATCCAGAAATTGCTAATATATTATTCACATGAAATAAAGTAGGAAACTTCAGAGAATCGCTAAATTAGTACATTTCATTAGGCTTTCGAAAATGATTACATCACTGAAGTAATGAATAATTATAATGAATGGTGCAATGGATTTCATTGTTAGTATTAAACATATCACTGAAATGAGAAGAATCACAAATCCTTGTGTATTTTATTTTACCAAGTTAAACAACTCTAAAACTATGAATCTCATGATGATTTGTCGTCATTGATAATTTCACTTTGTTTACAAAGTTTTTGAGTGTGAATTAAATTTCTTGGTTTGAATATTCAATATCTTAACAATCAAGCTATTTCTTTTCTGTTCAATATATAAAATCTGGTCAACCACAATTATATATATATATATATATATATCATATTACTCACCTTCCAAAATTTCTTCCAACAATACAATGCCATGTAGGATTGAATTTTTTATCGAATTCTTTCTTTATATAAGCTGCAATATCTTTTTCAATGGTGTATTTTTCATAAGCTTCTGTTGCCAAATCAACAGCTTCTTGTTGCATATGCTCAAGCATATCACTACTTTTGATTACTGCTTTACGTTCAGTCATTTTTGTTTTCTAAAAGAATAAAATTAAAATTTATTCTGCATTAAGTTGAGTGGCAGTCACTTACCGATTACTACTATCACGATACTATGCAATCATAAATTTGTGTTGCCAAAAACGACACTATTTATATCACAAAGCTCATCGTGAATATGACCTTATTAAGCATTCAATGAAGAAGAAAGTGAAAGCATTTAGTAGCATGGCTTCAAACAGAATATATATGTGTATACATATATTATATGCACATATAAACATATATTTAGATTTATACATACAAACAAATATATGTACATACATACGCACGCTTACGGACGATGTCAATCAAGGTGATTAGGATAAATTCCATAGGAGGCTGCAGTCAATCATTGAGAAGAGCACAGGAAAGAATCTCACCATTCTGATGTAGAACTCGAACGCCAAGGTTGGGATGGACAACATCAAATATGTAGGTATCATGTAACCATCAGTGGTGGTAGCCGACATGAAGATAAATCTCAAGAAGCACTGGACAACGTGACAGACAACAGCACAAAAGTTAAACAGGCCATCTCTCGAGATAGTGGCAAACGCAACTAATTCGACATAGCCCTCAACAATGGGTTTCTGGCGTTTCATGATCTACTCAATGGAGAGAAAACTACCATAGAGAACAAACATAAAGAGGTCAACTAAGTAATCACTTCAACATATCATGAGCTTCTGGATGACAACACGCACCATCACTAGCAATGGATCTCTTTTGGTACTCTTGATAAAATTTAAGAAGGAAAGAACAAGGAGAAAGAATTTAACATTAGATGAACAAGAGTGAAGAACGTCAAGGCGGAAACTAAATACACAGAAGCAAACAAGCAAGTGAACTGGAGCATCGAAGCTGAGAATCGTATATATGTGGAAGATCTAAGTATGACGACGGTAAAGGCTGAAAAAGAAGGAAACTTTAGACAATTTTACGATACGCAAGATATTTCCACTCTGTTAGCCAAACACTATCAGCCGTAACGTGTTGTGGAGGAAAAGAAACCAGATTCTAGTGGAGTAATAAATCAAGAAGAAGTGCTGGATAGGACACATTGTGGAAATCAATCAACTGCGTCGTCGGGCAAACACAAAATTGAAATCCTCAAGACGAAATGGAAAGAGGTAGACTAATGAACAAAATACAGCAAGAATTGGAGACAGATATGAAAAGGATGAACAGTATTTCAATGGAACTGGAAAGTAAGGCACAGGAAAGAGTAGGTTGGAGAATGCTAGTCGATGGTCTTTGCTTCATTAGAGGTAACAGGTGTAAGTTAGTAAGTGAGTAAGTAAGTAGGTACTCGATAACAAGATTAGAGTAATTCAGGGCACGGATCCAACCCACAGAAGTAAACAATCAACTGAACAGAGGCTTTAGACTTAATCGGAGGAAACATTTAGACGACCAGGTAGTGGATAAAGCTGCAGGTTAGAGTAGTACGAGACGACTACATGATAGATCGAAAACACTGACCGTGAAATAAATAGGAGCGGAAGGACTGATCAAGAACAAGGTAGATAAGTCAACAACTGAGATCCGAAATGAACGGAACACTTAGTTTGAGCAACTGGAAGAACTCATAAATAGACATAACTCACTCTATCCACCCAACATCAAACTAGCACACACAGATCACCCCAACAACAGCTGAAGAAATTAATTTCTCCATCCAACAGATTAAAAGTCGTAGCGAACCTGAGCCGCACAATATACCTGCTGAGACACTGGAATCAGATAAACAAGTAACTGCAAAGGTGCACCACACACTCATCCACAAGATTCGGGAGGATGAACAAGTACCAACAGTTTGGAAACGAAGACACCTCATGGAGATACTATTAAGGATATATTTGCAAGTGTGAAAATTACAGAGGCATCACAGTACAATGAGTGCTAGCAAACCTCCTCAACAGACGGTTATTGAACTGACTGAATGACTGGGTAGTTGCCTAACTTCGGGATTGACAGACTGGATTTTGTAAGGATCAACGGTGTGACGACTAAGTCATGACATTGCAGATCATTGTGAAACAATCAATTAAATGGGACTCGTCATTCCGAGATAACTTCCTTCACCGTGAGAAAAACAATAAACAGCATGGACAGGAGAAAACTGTGGAAACTTCTCAGACTTAGTGGTGTGCCTGAAGAGATACTTTAGATCACATGGAATTCCAACAATCAACTAGACTGAAGAGTCATGAATGGAGAACGGCTGACTGATTATTACCAATTTGCAACAGTCACCAGACAATGATGGTCACCGACAGATTATTTTGGTATCTTTTATACAACTTAGTGTTTCTAGTCTCTTATTAGAAAGTTGCATTAATCTATCACGTTTTGGTCTATCGAAAGATTCATACATTTTCTTCTGTATACATGAAAATTTACCATTCCTGTAAATCCATGATAAAAGATTGTTCAGTAGATGAAAGTATGACAGCTTTGATATGAAATGGTTGTATTTAAGCATCGTTAATCGGTCAACTTCATATTTCATTGTTTGCAATATTTCTTTATGAAAACGCCCATTTGTAAATTACAGAGGCCTCATTCTCTCTTACATATCTGAAAATCATTGACACTTGTGACTTAGCTCATTCATAAACATCACATGAAATCTGTTGTGCATTTTCAACTGCATCAGATAAATCGATAATGAAATATGTGTGTTCTTTCTGTTTCAACGATTTCACTCATACAACAATGGTGTATGTAAGCGAGATGAAATTGATTGGACGAACAAACAATCAATAAAACATCAATCATTAGTACTGTCATTCTTATAGAAATGAATGATAATGTGTAGAACACCTTAGAAATACATTTTCATTCAATTTTTTTTCCGAATATTTTGAGCGAGTTTATTTAATTGACTGGATTCACACAAATAATTAATATTTGTTTATGAAGAATGCAATCCACAGTTGTATTAATTAGTATTTGAACGTGAAGATAATCAGATTGGCATCGATTTATTGTGTGGGGTAGTATTGTAACTGATAAAAACGTCGAAGTGATTTCGAAATAAGCTAGTTTTATACAGAAAGTAATTAGAACGACTCATGTTCTGTAATCAAACGATTTCTAGTCAAGAAATGCCACAACCGCATTACTGTACTCTTGATATTTTTCGTATATCAGGTTATTATTTTAAATGTTGGTAAGATAGTTGAGTGTTTTAAGCCATCGGTGAAAAGGCTGCATTAAAGAATCCTGCTCATTCTGAAGCATCTTTTTCTGTGGCGATCGTTTATTCGTTTGCGCTTTACTGGACGTTGGAGAGACACCGCAAATAAACCGCCATTTAGGGATAACAAAATTAAGAATATATTTCTGGAACAATTATAAAAACAGTTAGGTAGCGATGTAAGTAATGCCCACGTGAACGTAGAGTGTTATGTTATTCAAAACTGTGGAAACAGCATGGATCTCTTTGAGCAAGGTAAATCATAAGGTCAGGTAGATGCGACAGTTCTCAGTAGCATCTAACGAACTAACAGATGCTCGGAAACTCGTCCCACCTGGCTAAAAGTACGATAAGGAGCGGAGTCAGCTTAGCGCTCGCTGATTAAATGCATACTCAACGATCGCGAACAGTGGCTGGTAGAGATTTAAAGGGCAGAGATGATAGGAAACTGTAGACAACTGTTCTGCCTTATCAAGGAGACTGATACTTGGCATCCATTTGTTAACGAAAATATCTCATAAAAGGATGGGCTTATAATTCATTCTCAACTAAGGAGATTGGATCGATAAACAGAACACTTCAATGATCAATTCAACTAGTCTTCATCCATACTTCGGTTGCCCACGGTCACCAGTTATACTGAAAGGTAAATCGATGTATGTCCTCCGAGTCTTTCTGAAGTCGAAAAGGCTTTAGGAAATCTGAACCAAGAGAGATTGGCCAACTCCTGAGGTTTTTAAGGATGGTGGTTCAATTTTAGCAGTTAGATTGATTGAGATGTTAGGTAGAATCTAGGAACCGGACGTATTCCCATCTCACTGGTCTCAGTCCCTTATTGTCCCAGTCTGCAAAAAAGGACAAAAGTCCTCTTTTGACCATCGCAGAGCAGTCAGTTGTTCAACATCGTGGATTCTTCGTTTTCTCATTCTCTTTCAAGTCAATCTCGTAAGCCCGAAGGCGTATTGTTGAGAAATATATTGAATGCGTTGAGTTTGCTAGTTCCTCACCAAAAGACTACAGTAAACTCGAGTGATAATATTTATCCAGTTGTCCAGTGCTTCACCAGCTCCATTCTCATCTTTAACACTATCGGATTGTGATATGAAGCAGTATCAGCTACGCCTTTTTTCACACTTCTTCTCTGGTCTATCCGAACATATTGTAGTTGCAGTTTTAGCGGATGTGGTACCCTGTTGTGGGTTCATGTGCGATACGTATAGGTTTGTGTATATGTTTGTGAGTAGAATATGATTTCACCTATAACCATTTTGTTGATGACGTATACGCTTGCAAAAATCTCACCGTTTACGTTCCTCTCTACCAGTTCATGTTATCCTATATCCTATCATATCTTCATACGCGGTGTTGTCCATTCCAACCCTACAAGAAAAACGATCAGTAGTTTGATCACAAGAAATCTTTTATTCACCGTATTGATTTAAAATATTTTTTAATTTGTTACATCTCATACTGACTATTCTTTATACCATAAAGTCAGTTTTGCTCACATTAGTATATGGTCAAATTAAAGTCAAGTGACTTACAGTCACTTCAAAGTTTTAAATAAATACTTGATAATATTTATGTGTAATAAATGACAAATAAATTTCTGATTCTACTCTCTCTCTCTCTCTCTTCATAAAATAACAGAACAATGTTGTTGTTTTTAGTTCACATAAGGTTAACCAAAAAGATATGTCACTCACTCAAAATCTGTGCAATCATTGTATTGTCATGCCTTTTCATCTTGACTATACTTGTACTCGTAAATCATTCAATTTCACTAACACCAATTCACAAATTCACTTTACTTTATCACAAAGTAAGTCAACTGTAGAAAAGAAAATTACGGTGTTAAGGGGTTGTTTTTTCTGTCTCTCTTAAAAGTTCTTTAGCATAAAATGTTACGCTGAATTAGAATATTTTAACTA